TAAAATAAGAAATTGAAAGATTTCGTTGAAATTGTTCGTTTGGAAAAAATGGATCTTGTTCTATCCTTGATCAAAGATTTCTCTATGAAAAAGACGTGAGGTAATGGCTTACCAATGATATGATCAGTAGTTGGTCCGAGAGGATGGTCAGCCACACTGGGACTGAGACACGGTCCAGACTCCTACGGGAGGCAACAGTGGGGAATTTTCTGCAATGGGTGAAAGCCTGACGGAGCAATGTCGTGTGGAGGTAGAAAGCCCACGGGTCGTGAACTTCTTTTCCCGGAAAAGAAGCAATGACGGTATCTGGGGAATAAACATCGGCTAACTCAGTGCCAGCAGCTGCGGTATAAATCAAAAAATGGATTTTTGTTCAAAAATGAAATCTTGTTGGAACTGTCCATATCCGGTTCATCCTTCGGAGCCATATCACATCTTGAATCTGATGAAATAAGATGAATCGAGACGGTATTTTGTAAATACGTAATTATCTTGAATAGATTAACCATTTCTTTATTTTCCGATCCCCTGAGAAAATCTCGCACGACGGGCTATTAGCTCAGTGGGTAGAGCGCGCCCTTACCCATTAACCATAGTCTACAAAATATAGACCCCTCGCTCAGTCGATGTAAACACTTATCGGATAAAAATGTTTCATACAATGATATTTTAATAGACTAAAATTTACGCAACAATTTAAATTAAAGTGGTTACAATTACCATTAAAGTACAAGATAAGATTTAAGGTAAAACAACCCTTTACTCACACAAAAACCATGCACGATGATAAAAAAATAAAAGCCTAGCGAGTATATTATTAGTTACTGATGTTAAACGTGATACCATTCAATTAAAATATGCATATTTTCTATTTATTTTTTTTATTTTTTTGTTTAAGAGGGTGTTTGGGATTGCTTATAAAAATAACTTATTGACTTATTCTGGTATGACACCAGTAGTAAGCATTTTCTACTGTTTGAAAAAGTTAAACCCCTCTAACTTATAATAAATTGATAAGAACTTATGTAGAAAAACATAAGTTGTTTTAAATAAGCAATCCCAAACATCCCTTAAGAATTAAGATCCACGTCAAAATTAATTTAATAATATATTAAGTTTTTATTTATTTATCTTTATCATATATTATCTAAAAAAATAGTATATTGATAATCAACGTATATTTTAATTTGGGCATTCAAATATTATTAATCGAACCAGATGAGGTGGACACCTGAATAGACTTGGGATCATGTGAGATCAATGGTTTTTCGTGAGACCCATAAGACCAATTCTCAATCTTTAGATTAGATCTACAATCTGAAAATTTAAACATTCATAAACGCCACAAGACTTCTCAATAATCACAAAATTGCTACCGTGCAATTTAGAACATTAAATCATTAACTTATAAAGTTGATCAATGAACATAAATTGGTCTTACGGGTCTCACGAAAAACCTTTGGTCTCACGTGAACCCAACCCTACCTGAATACTTGANAACTTATAAAGTTGATCAATGAACATAAATTGGTCTTACGGGTCTCACGAAAAACCTTTGGTCTCACGTGAACCCAACCCTACCTGAATACTTGAACYTTTGGTTCGATTCAGTTTATGATTACATGATTTTATAAAAAATATCAGTTGCAATATAAACAATATTAAAAATTCAATTATACAATAACTAAATAAAATTAATCCAAACGCTATAAATTAAAATAAATTTAAATGTTAAAAAAATTGATTTTGGTTTTGTCTAATTTTGGAGCGTGCACTCCGTACATCAGAACTTGAATTATAGCTAAGTCTAATTTTAGTTTTGTCTCACATTAATCTCGATCATACTAAATGATTTGATGACATTAAAATCACCAACAAAATATCTAATGACACTACAAAACCTACTTTTATTTGTGGTATCAGACTTTTTTGACCAATTAAAAAGTGAAAGCAGGTTGCAATAATACGTTAAAGCAAATTGCTGTGCCAAAAAGTAAAAACAGCAAGCTACAAACCGTTGCAAAAAGAGTAAACTGCAATTTTGCCCTTATAGTTTGAGAAAAATTGAGATTTTCATCCTTATGGTTTTAAAATTACGACTTTAATCCCTATAATTTATAATTTTATTATTGTTTTCGTCCTCGAGAATAAATACGTAAAACCTCCTCCATTAACTTAAAAGTATTTTAGTTTTTTTTTTTTTTTTCTTTTGACGTTTTTGTTTTTATAAAAAAAGTTAATAGATAAAAAAAATTATATTAGTTTTATTGTTTCTGATAAAATAATTAAAATGTTTTTAATACAACTAATTTTTTTTATATTGTTCATTATTATAATTTAGTTTTTTATATAGTTTTATTAATAGCATTATAATTATTTTATCTATTAATTTTTTTTATCAAAAAATATATAGTTTTATTAAATAAAAAAATAAAAATACCGAAAAAGAAATAAATAAAAAAAGATTAAAATACCTCTTTAACTTAATGGAGAAGCAGGGAACAATAATAAATTACAAACTATAGAAATGAAACCAGAGGGACGAAAACATACAACCGAGTTTCAATATTCAGATATCCAAATCCAATTCAAACAACTATCGAAATTCGATATATATATATATATATATATATATATATATATATATGTGGAACAAAGATGGAAACATAATCTAGAACCTTCCCCTACCCAACTCCTTACCAAGAACATATGTTTGCTCGAATTCATGACCAGTTTGGGATCACGATTTCAAGATGGAACCATATACCATCATGTCTAAAGCAAATGTGTGCGGCTTCTTCTTCCCATTTTTTCTTCTCCAATTCGAAATCGGTAGTAAGAGGTACATCACAACAATTACCCATCTAATTGAGGATTCAAAGCGTTTCGATTTTTGAACAATAAACAAAATTGAGGTTTTCAAAAGTTAATCCAAGTGGGTATATCAAAATCCTGAACAAAAACAAAAGGATTTGAAAGGGGATGGGGATGTAGGTTGAAGATGAAGATGAAGATGGAAATGAGGGTGAAGATGGAGATGGTGGTCAGGCGGGAGGAAGACGAGACGATGCCCCTGTGGTAATCGCTTAAACCATGAATTTCATATTTACATTTATTGTTAGTAAGGATGGTAATCGCTTAATATAGCGAAATAAATCTTGATTTTAATATTTTGTTTTATTTTTTTATCTCAGTCGATGTCTTTAATATGATTTTATGTGATTTTGAAAAAAAACATAATGTTTTTATTTTTGAATAAAATATAAATTTGAAGGTATCAAAAAAAATATGATAAAATTATATTGATATTAATATCAAATTAACTATTTAAAATTTCTCATTTTTATATGTATTTTTTTAATTCAATTTTTTTGTTATGTAATTTATATTTAATTTAATAATATAATTTTTATTAAAGATAATAATTAATTATTTTGTTAGAATTAATGATGGCGAAAAACCGGTCCCACCCGACCTCAACAGTGTCGGTCATAATCCGTTCTGGCATTACCGGTCCCGGTCGAAAATAGTAAGCCCAATTAAGCATTCCTATAACCGGTTATGGTTAACCGGTCCCGAACAAAAAAAAATTAATGATAGATTTTTTTGATACATTTTAAAAATACGAGTCGAAGTCACAATTATAGCGAAAAATCGAGAATTTTGAATGTTTTTTTGGTTTTGTAAGTTTATATGTAAATTCTTCAAAGATAACACTTATATATAAGATTTAAAAGACAAAAAGACCAAAAAAGGGTCATAAATGGTCATATAACGGCTCAAAAACGACTACCTTTTTAAAAACCAAGACGTGCCCGTACCATAACCGGTCCCGGTCGGGCCAATTCCTCGAAACCCTACAAAACCACAGTCGGTCCTGGTCGACAGTCCTATAACCGGTCCTTACTGTTCCTAGGCCGGGCGGGACGGTTTGGCCATCACTAGTTAGAACTCAATAATTATCTCAATTATATTTTAGATTTTTTATATTTTAAAATGAAATGTTTATCCTCTATTTGATTATATTTATCTGTAATTAGTTACACGAATTCAAACATAGAGTTTTAATAAGTTATACTTACGCATAATTTACTTGTAATGTTAAATTTTAAGTAATATGAATCAATAAACAGTACTTCATATATAAAAAATTGTTTTTAAGAGTTTTTGTCAAATTCTTTATAATATAGTATCTATACTATCTTATAAGCAAATTTAGTAAAAGTCTTAAAGTCTTAAAATACTAAATGACCAAAATACCCTTTATACTCATTTTTTCACTCATTCCTCTCCTCGCATACACTCACCCTCTCACAACTGATTTTTTTAAAATTATAATTTTAAATTTACACTTTATACCCTTATAATTAATTAATTAATTTACTTTATGTCTTTTACTTTTAAATGTTTCATTTTAAACCTTTATCAAATTAACATACATAATCGTATATCAATTAAAACATGTTTAAAAAAATATATTTTTATTTTAACAAGTTACACCATTATAATCGTCTCGTTAATACCTTCGAAATGAGTYCAATATTGAATAGTTTTTTACTTAATTATATTATTATATATTATATATATTGTAAAAAAATATTTTAATACTTACGATTTATATTTTTATAGTTATTTATTTATATATATATACTATATATTTTGGGGTTAGGCTGTCCAAATTGCATTGTATAATATGTTTTGATTTAATATGTTCTTGGGTTTTTTTTGAAATATATATATACATGTATTAATTCAATCTTAATCTGAGTTTCTTAACAAGAAAGAGGGTAAACAGTTGAAATTTGATTCTAAAACCCATTTTTTTTTTCTTTTTATGGCTTATGATCTGTCAATTTTGTAGTTTTCTTTATTGGTTTTGAGTATTTATCTTAAAACTCAAGTTTCTTGGTTCTTTGCTCTTGATGTAAATCGAATACATTTGTGGAGTCGTTTAAATATGTTGGATTTTAAATATATTGGATTTTAAATTGTCGTACAATTTTTTTCATCGATAGTCTGTAATTGGAACCATAACTCTTATTTATTCAAATTGTATTAATATGTAAAGACCAAGTGTAACCTATATCATCGTTAAATCTTATCTTATAAAACCAATGAAACTTCAAAATCGTTAAAATTCATGGCTCCCGCCGCATTGCGCGGATACACAACTAGTAGATGGTAAACCATGAGTCTCATAATTGTATTTAGAGTAAATTACAGATTGGTCCTTGTGGTTTGGTGATTTTTATAAAAATGGTCTCTGAACTTCATTTATTACATATTAGGATTTGTCGTATGTCATTTTGTAACGAATTGACCCCACTCTAACAGCCATCCAAAGCATCCGGTAGAATTAAGAGCAGTTCTGTAATTTTATAATTTTCACCTTTTTAACATTAATATATTTCTGTTTTGACTTTTTTTGTCTTTTTCTACTTTTAGTAAAACCCCCTAAACTATAAGGACCAAATAAGTAAATAACTCTAGTATATATATATATACATATATATATATATACACACACGATCACAGGGTGTCGTCCCTAACCTTTTACTCCGGTGAACCCTCCCTCCGTCGTCCCTTGCATCCGATGAACCCCCTCTCTCTGCCCCCCTCCCCCTCTCTCCCCGTTGCAAAGTCAACCCTCCCTATCCCATTGGTTACTTCCCCGATGACAACCATCGGTGCGACCTCCCCCGGTGACAACCACCTTCATAACCATTGCCAATAGTCGAACTCAAACCACCAGCACCACCATGCCCCATCACACACAGTGACACAGAGACACAAAAAACACACACATTCACTAAGAGAGATGGAGAAGTGGGTGTGGATGGTTCCACCGATGACTAGAGATGCCGAAGATGGAGATCGGAATCGAGTTGGGTGTGTGTTCTCTATGTGTGGGAACGTTTGTTGTGTGTGTATGTGTCGGAGATTGATGGCGGTGACCGGCGGATGGGGATCTCGTCGGGGATGGAGGCTTGGAAAACAGACCCGTCGTGAGGGGGTTCAACGGACGAGGTGAGAGACTGGTAATGATCGTCGGAGGGAGAACTGAGAAGGGGGGGTGAATGATGATGGTGCGGCTCGTCGGAGCTGGGTGGAGGTCACGCCGGAACTGGGAGGCCACGTCGGAACTAAGGGTCGTGAATGAGATGGAGAAGAGAGAGAGAGAGAGAGAGAGAGAGAGAGAGAGAGATAGTTGAAAGTTATTTACTTATTTGGCCCTTAAGATTTAGGGGGTTTTACAAAAATTAGAAAAAGACAAAAAAATCAAAACAAAAATAAATTAATGTCTTTTTTATTAACCTGAATATCCAACCTGTTATCCGAGCCGATTAATCTCAAGCCGACCACTTGCTTTGCAGATAGCCCGGAGTCACCGTATTTGAACTTTCGTGGCCACAAGAAGATTTTATTCCTCATTGGATTTGAACATGAGACCTACTGATACTTTTTTTAATGTTAAAAAGGTGAACATCATAAATGACGAAATTGCCCTTAATTCTAATGGATGCTTTGGATTACCCGTAATTAGATTGAAGGACCAATTGATTACAAAATGACATATGACAAGTCCTAATCTATAATAAATGAAATTTAGGGACCATTTTCATAAAAACCATCAAGCTATACGGACCAAATCCGTAATTTACTCTTAATTCTAATGTGTGTATTTATGAGTCCCATATTTATATAATATTTTGGGACAATTGTGCAGAAAATGCAAACTATAGGGAACAAAAATGTAATTTACTCTATGTATATGTGTATATATAAACCATCGCATCACCCATCAATCATGCGTATTAGCTCAAGATGCCGACGAATAAGCCCTCAGCATCCCAATTTCCCAAAAGGTCAACAATTCACTGTTGGGACTCCACGATCCAAAACCCCAATTTTTATTTCATGAAATCGATTTTTATTATATATTAACTGATTCATACATTACAGATTGCAAGGAAAAGTGGCCGTAGTCACCGGCGGTGCTAGCGGGATCGGTGAAAGCACGGTGAGGCTTTTCACCAAACACGGCGCCAAAGTGGTGATCGCCGACATCCAAGATGAACGAGGAACTTCCCTTTGTCAGGAACTACTTTCTGAATCGGGAAACGTCGTCATCTATGTCCATTGTGATGTTACTCTTGATTCCGATATCCAGAATGTCGTCGACACCGCAGTTTCCAAATACGGAAAGCTGGACATCATGTTCAACAATGCAGGTATCYCCGGCGACACGAATAACACGATACTAGGCTCTGATATCCAAAATTTCAAACGGGTTTTCGATGTGAACGTGTTGGGCATCTTTTTGGGAGCCAAACACGCAGCTCGAGTCATGATTCCGGCGAAAAGTGGGGTGATCCTGTTCACTTCAAGTGCAGCTTCGGTGGTTGCCGGCGTGACGCCACATGCCTACGCGATGTCGAAGCATGCGGTGGTGGGGTTGACGAAGAGTTTGTGTGTGGAATTAGGACAATATGGGATACGGGTGAACTGCATCTCACCTTACTTCGTTGCTACGCCGATGCTGGTTGGTGCGATGGGAATGGACAAGGAGGTGGTGGAGGAAATGGTCTGTGCATCGGCCACCTTGAAAGGTTTGATGCCAACGGCGGAGGATGTGGCGGAGGCGGCGTTGTATTTGGGTAGCGAGGAGGGTAAGTATGTGAGTGGGTTGAACCTGGTGGTGGATGGTGGTTATAGCACCACCAATCCGGCCTTTACGACGGAGGCCAAAAAATTTATGTCTTAAGAAGCAAAACCTTTTACTCTGTTACGTATGTTGTACTTGTATTTCTCATCATGAAATTTGGGTTTCTTCTGTTTATGTTTTTTTTATTACGAGCAATTTCAAGGAGTATCGTTGTTAATTACTTAATTTCAACAGAATAGTAACTATTTAAAAAAATTAAAAAAATGTTGTTGATATATAAAATCATGTATGATTCATATATATATATATATATATATATATATATATATATAGTTTGGTTATTATACAACCTTTTATATTTGTACAACCACTACAACCCAATCTTAACCGTCCATTTAATTTGATGAATATGTGATTTCATAGAAGTTTTGATTGTTTCATAATATAAAGTATTGATCATAATTAATGAACTTTATTCATTTTTCATAAATATTCAAATCATAATAAATAAACTTTTATCATTTCTATAAATATCTCAATTAATTGGGTTGCATTGGTTGTACAAATGGACATGATTGCATTTGAAATATACCCTATATATATAAGGGATCATTCAATGGAGAACTGATTAGTTTGTGATAACTGTGAGATCCAATCTCAACCACAAATCAACGGATAAATTAGAAAATTAATAATTATGGTAGTTTGAGTTAAAATTATAATTAGAGGGTTTTTTAGGTATTTTTAAAAAACTCCTCTCTCCTCTCTCCTCTCTCATCTCTCCGACCTCCAATCTCCGGCCTCCAGTGAACATTAATCCGCCAGGTACCAAGTAATCACAAAGATACACAATGTGATACTCATTGTGATATACTGTGATACCATTGTGATACCAATCATGATATCAACTCAAACCTTAAAAACAAAGATACACAATGTGATACCCATTGTAATACACAATGTGATACTCATTGTGATATACTGTGATACAGATTTCACCGAAGGCCGAAGATTGGAGGTCGGAGAGATGAGAGAGAAGAGAGGAGAGAGAAGTTTTTTTTAAAATACCTAATATGTCCTCTAATTATAATTTTAACTCAAACTATCATAATTATTAATTTCCTAATTTATCCGTTGATTTGTGGTTGAGATTGGACCTCACAGTTACCACA